TCATTCACTTAATCCTATGACCGTACAAGGTAGGTCCTAGTACCATCAACCTTTTTGTAGATGAGGGATCTGAGGCACAGAGACGTTATGCACCTTGCCCAAAGTCACACACCAGGGTCTAGGGGTTGTATTTTTTACCACTAATCCATGTTCACTGCCGGCCCCCCTGCCCCTCCTGGAAATGCCTGGGGTCAGGGCTGGCAGGCCCGTGAACTCTCAGGACAGGAGGATCTCCCTGCAGGCCTATGGGCCCTGGCTTGAGAGAGCGGGAAGACTTCCTGCTATGGTGGGGGGGCCCAACAGATGGGGGAGTTGTCCTGGGGGATGGGGATTTGTGCAGCCTCTCAGGGCCTGATCAGAAGGCAGTTCTGTCCTGTCCAGCTCCCACTCCTGCCCCTCAGGGCCACCCCAACACCTGGAGGCAGCTGGAACATTCTCTGCCTCTCCCATGACTGGCTGCAGTCACAGGGAAGGAGGGCTGGTACAGCAGGGAGTCACAGCGGCTTCCTCTGGCCTGGACCAGCTCGTTTGCATCCCTGGCAGCGTATGGCAGAAGTAAGAAGAGCACACACTTCAGCAGGTGCTGCTACAAGTGTCTTGTCTATAATGGGTTCGTCAAGTCCTCACCACAACCCTAGGAAGTAGGAGCTGTTATCATCCTCCCTCTATATCAGAAGAAACTGAGGCCCAGAGGACAACTGCCTTGTCCAAGGTCATGCAGCTAGTGAATGGTAGAGGTGGGATTCAAACCCAGACAGTTTGATGCCAGTTTCACACAAACCTTTGGCGGCTCACAGAGCTGGACTCAAATCCCTGCTCTGGGTTAATGTGGTGCTATTCTCAGCACTCAATGAGAAAATGATGCCCAGTGCCTGGCATGGAGCACTTGACATTGAAAAATGTTCCACTGCTTCCTTCTAACCCTGATATTACACGGCTCCCGGAGCAGAGGCTGAGCTGGAGTCCAGACCCATCCCCTCTCCAGACTGTGGCTAAGCTATGGCAGGGGGAGGGGAAGGGGAGTGGACAGGAGAGGGGAGGGGTTTAACTGGCCCCTCCAGGCCTAGCTGCCCCTGCTTCCTGAGACCTGGAAGGGACCAGGGGAGTAAGGGAGAGAGTGGGTCTGTTGGAGATGCTGGCCCTGACTCTGGCCTGAGGCCCATCTGCCTGGGGCAGAAAGCCTCGGGGACTCCCTCATGCAGAAGCCAGAGGTGTCTCACCTAGAAAGCAGAGCTGGGAAGGAAGAGGGCCTCGACTACAGAACAACAGCCAGGCCTAGACCTCATCCCTGGGCAGAGCCACAGGACCAGGCCAGGGTTCTGGAAGGGTCCTCACAGACTCTCAGGCTTGAATCCCACCTCACCCTCATCCGTAGCAGGGAATGCTCCACACTCTTACGCACCGCACAGTACTGCCTCTCAGACATCTACTTCCCCTTTCGTGGGGACAGAAGCCCCATGGGCCCCCTAGACTGGCTATAGGAAAACCAAGGAGGCCTTACCACCAATGCTTTGCCATCCACTTGCCAACGCCCCTTTTAACAGGAGCCAGTGGTTACTGAGCACTTTTCACATGCCAGACCCTGTCCTAGGCCCTTTCCATGCTTTAACTCACTAATCCCCTGATGACCCAAGGTAGATGTTATACTTGTTTTCCCAACAGTAAACTGAAGCTCAGAGAGGTTAAGTGACTCGTCCAAGGTCACATAGCAGCTAAATGGGATTCAGACCCAGGCATACTCCAGAGCCTGTGCTCTGAACCATGGTGCTCTGCGGCCTCCTTTGACCTCTGGCTACTGTAGACCTTCACCCAGGAAGATGGCACACTCACTACCTGGGCAATGCCCAGTCGCTGGGGTCCAGCTGCTACTTGGCAAGACTTATTGGTTTCATTAATGTTTGGGGGATGTCAGTATTTTTGAGTGACTCCTGCATCTAGGGCCCACCTCTCCAGCTTGATCAAAACTTACAGCAGCTCGGACTCAGTCCTAGAAAGTTAGAACGAGGGGAAAGCTTATAGCTGAGAGAACCTCTAGTCCAATTCCTCTCTGACATATGGGTAAACTGAGGCCCAGAGAACAGTCCTCCCCCAAGAGTGCTTAGCAAGACCTGGGCCTAGAAACTTGGACTTTTGCTCCTGGGCGAGTGGGACAGTTAAGACAGGTTGTTGGTGTCTGAATCCTTCTAGCATAGGTGAGGGGGCACAAGACAGGGCGAGAGTGAAAATTGGGACCAGGCTGGAGATGCTCTGGCTGGAAGAATTCAGGCTTGCGTCCCTACCTCGCCCTAAAGACCCCGCAGGGATACTGCTCTGTGCAGGTCCTAACTTGGCCCCGGGGAAGGCAGGGAAAGCCCTTGTGCACAAAACACACATAACGGAAGGTTACCCGCTGAGCAAACATTTTGTGGCCTCCACCCTGGGCCTGCAAAGCTAGCTGCTGACAGGATGGCCTGCAAGCCACGTAAATGAGGGAACAGGCCAGGTGGGGCCTGGGCTGAGCTGCAGGGTGACTGCCCTATCTAAAGAAGCTGGTCATTCTCCGGCTCTGGCCTAGGGGGGGACCACATCATCATATTTTTCAAGAGGATCCAAAAATCAATATTTGTATGGGAAATGGTATTTTTTTAGCACTGGCAAAAAATGCAAACATGAGAAAAAACAGTGTTTGGATCAACAAAATGCATCTAGAAGCTGTACTGTTACAACGTGTGCTGTACACTATGCTGGGCCCCAGGTAGACAAAGGCGAGGCAGTGTGGACGAGACAAACCTGGTCTCACCTCCTGGAGCTCAGGGTTAAGATGTGGAGACAAACTCTCAGAGCACATGCAGACACGTGCCACTGTCTCCAAGCCACCAACCCATCAACCACTCTAGTTCAGCTCTCCACCCTGTGCCAGCCCAGGTCAGAGCAAAAGGGGAGGTGGAGGCGGAGTGCTGCTCCTGAGCCATCCTGTTGTGGGGCTTTTCAGGTCAGAGGACCAGCACCTGATGGAGGGAGGGAGTTAGGGGACATGGAGGAGATAAGCCAGAAGTAGAGGATGAGGAGTGAGAAGTAGGAGACGAAGCTTGGGAGGTGGGTTAAGACCATGCTGCAAAGGGCTCTGTGCTTCATTCCAGACTCACTGGAGAGCCACTGCAGGTCAGTGAAGATGGGAGGTCTTTCTCCCTGCCCTGCTCTGGCCTCTTGATGGTATTCCCTAGTCACAGTGACTCAAATCTCCACTCTTTAGCCTCTCACTCCACTCCCTTGTCTGTGGGTCATAGGACAAGGCCCTGGGCTCCTGGGAACCCACCAGGGGAAATGAACTCCTCCAGAGATGAAGAGGACACACCTGGATACTTCTCGAGGCCCAACTGTGACCTACATCCACCCACAGGCCACAGAGTATGGCTCATTCTGTCATCTCTGGGAATTGCCACACACTTGCCCAAGGTCATCCAGTCTTCAAGGCAGCTGGCTCTCCCACAGCCTGTGCTGACGGGGCTGCCTCAACTGTCCTTGAATTTGCAGGAGGGGCTGCCAGAGGTCTGGCCTGAAGCGCCCCAACCTCTTCTCCTGCTGGTCACCTCTTCCCCTTGGGTCGATGCCAGCAGCAGGTGTGGTGCAGGCACTTGGTGTTGGGAAGGGGGAGAAGAGAAACTGGCTGCCCAGGCTCATGGCCCCCAAGTCTGCAGCAGGTGCTTCAGGTGTGGGGTCAGAACTGGTCAGCTGGGAGCTAAGCAGGCTCACCTCAACTGGTCCAACCAAGCGTGGCCTGGGCAAACTAAGAAAAGCCCAGGGGTCTGAGGAACAGGAAAGATCAGGAAAGGAGATCGGGATGAAGTGGGAGAAAGGACCCTGAATTCTGGCATATCACAGACACTAGCTAAAGGTTTGCTGAATGAATAAATAAACAAAGGAACTCCTGGTGGGGTTACCTGTACCCAGAGTCCTGCCTTCCTCAGCATCACTGCTTGCCTGCAAAGGGCTCAGAGAGAAGAGACTGGCGGAAACCCCAGCAGCCCAGGGTATGTTCCCTTGGAATGGTCCAGCCTCTTGTCAGGATCTCTGATCCAGAATTTCATGGTACAACATCCTCTGGGCCTCTTCCCATGAGCTGTAGGGCCTGGGGTTCAGGACCTCACTGAGGGCCAGGCTAGGGTACTGCTTTGTATACAGCCTAGAAAGCTAGAGCGAGAACCTAGAATGGTTGTCCAGAACACACTGACCCAACCTGAGGTTTGGCCCTGGGTGTTCTTGAGATCAAGAGGAGAAGGGAACGCTTTGCTCCTGGGGCACATGGGGACAGAAAGGTGCCCTGACCTGAAATGGCTTCTTTATCCAGACTACCTCCCCTCCCCAGAAACCAGCGCCTCACTTTGTTAAGGGCTTGCTCCCTCCCTGTCCTTCAGGGAGCACAAAGTATGGCCTGGGTCAAGACCCCTACTGCGGCCTGGGTGGGAGCAGCGAAGTCACAGAGAAAATAAGGGATTCCAACCCATTCTCTCAAACACACCCCTTCCCTGCCCTCTCACAGACAAAGACACACACCCAAGCCCCAGCCATCACCCTTTGGCCACACACTGCGGGCCCCTCACCTTCGGACACCCCAGAATCTTCTCCTCCCAGGGGGAACTTCACTTGAGAACTCAGCCTGGCCTTGGGGGGAGGGGTATATATACTCCAAGGACTGGAGGTCCAACAGTTCCAGAGTCACAGTTTTGGGGGGGAGGACTCTCCACACTCTTCCCCCCCTCTGTGGCGCAAGCAGCTCTGCCACCATTCCCCTTGGGGCCAGGGAGCTGCGCCCAAACCCCAGGGCTAGGGTGGGGGGTGGGGAAAGGGAGAGGAGGAGGGGGCGGCTCCTCCAAGCGAGACACAAAGAGACGTCCTTCAGCCTCGGCTCCATGGCGACGCTGGGGAGGGGGCAATGCGCACCCAATACTTCCTTCCCCACCTGCAGGTCTAGGGACCTCGGCGGCCACTCACCTGCTGCCCCTTACCTGGGCCCGGCTTACCTGGGCTGGGGCCGCGGGGACGCCGCGGCAGGGGGCCTGGGCGCCGTCTCGGTTTTCGTCAGCCCGGCCCGGGGTGGGGGGACTCAGGGCGCCTCGACCATGGGCTGGGATGAGAAGGGCGCCGCGACCGGTTCAGTCGCCCCGGTCCTGGAGCTTTGAGCGGGGATGGGGTGGGGGGGTGGGCCGAGGCCTCTTGCTGGTGAGGGATATCTCTTGGTGTCTTCGGGTCCCTAGATTTGGGAGTTCTGTGTACCGGAATAGGGGGTTCTAGTGGCGTTCTGAGCTGGGTCTTCGTGTCTTGAGGTGTGGAGTTGTAATGACCAGGATCTTGAGAGGGGGTCCCCACAATCCCGGACGGGGGGGTGTCACTGCGTTCTAGGTCTTAGGGGGGCCAAGACTGAAGAGGGGGGAGTCTTCGCGGTACCGTAGGGAGGTCGCTGTCTTTTGAATACGGAGGAAGTCTCCGCTTTCTCCGGCTGGGGAGTCGCTGTGTGTTGGATCTGGAAGGGCACCCCGCTTTCCTGGGGGGGTCTCTGGGCCCTGGTGGTGGGGGGTATCCCCGCGCTTTCCAGCCTCGGGGGGCTTGCTGAGTCCCGGCCACCGGCGGGAGCTGGGAGGAAGCCCTTCAGCCGCTGGGGGGCTCCGTCGCCGCCGCTACGAGCAGCCGGGCCCTGCGGTCCCGGACCCCGGCCCGGTCCGGGTTCTGGCTGCGGCTCCGGTTCGCGCTCCGCCTAGTGCTCGGGCCCCGGCCCCGGCGCCCGCCCCGGCTGCGCTCCATCGCGGCATCGCGGCTCCGCCCTCCAGTCCGCGCGCACCTGCCCGCCCGGCCCGCGGCTCCGCCCTCCGGCTCGCGCGCCGCCGCCCGCCCCTTTGTCCGCCCCGCTTGGCACGCGCCCTCGCGCACGCGCACTGGGCCCCGCGCGCTCTCTCCCTCCTGCCGCGCCCTCCTGCTGCCGCGCGCCGCGGGGCGCACATTGTCCCCGCGCGGAGGGAGCGGCGCGCGGCGCCCCCGCCCCGCCTTCCGGCCGCGCTGGGTCCTAGCGCCCGTGGGCTCCCTTTCTATCCTCCCACCCGTCTTTTGTAGGTCAGAGCCCACGAGAGGCCGAGAACGAGGTTAGAGAGGACTCGAGGGAGTCTGAGAGGGTCACCTGGTCCAGCATCCTGGCCCCTGCGGGACCAGAATGCCCCAGACTGTCCCATTCTATTCTTGTGGGGCAGAGCCTGTGTCTATTTCAAGGAGGGAAACATCCAAGCTGTGCAATCAGATATGCATTCATTCATCCATCTGACCCTCCCGTCTGTCCGCCCATCCTTCCATCCATCCTATTTTGAGCAAGACTTCAGGGGACTAACAGTCTACTCAGGGAAGAGGTTAAAAAATGGGGCCTTGGGGGCCATGTCCAGCCCAGGTGGAGTTTGCCACCTCTGATGTAAACAGGCAGTGACAAGTCATGGGATGCAGCTGGGATGCACAGTGCTCACCAGAGAGAAGGAAGGAAAGGGGATTCCAGGCAGAGGGAGCAGCATGTGCAAGCTCCCAACCCCCCAGCCCCCACCCCCCATGTAAATGAGCATTGTCTGATAACTGGTCTTTGGTGGCCTGGAAGTGGGGTGAATAAGGATAGAGATGAGATAGGGACAGCTCATCCTCCCAGCTCTGATTCTGTCTCTTTCTCAGCCTCATCCATGCAGCCCCAGCCACACTTTCCTTGACGAGAAAGACCCCAACACACCCTGCACCTTCCTTATTTCTTCTCTTTGTTCAGGCTGTCTTCTCCACCCAGCACACTTTTCCCAACCACCCTGACTGTTTCTAGAACTTTTAGAACCAGGGATTGCAAACTCAAGTACCTATAGATCACATAAATTAGTGACGGGGGTCAGGGGTAAGTCCATAGGGAGTGGTGGAGATGAGGTAACCTGGAGCATTGTTGGCCCTGCATCGATAGATGATTTTTCAAGAGAAGCAGGAAATCTGTATTCTGACATAAAATCTTCCAACTTTTAAATGTTTGAAACAAATTCCCACAAATTTGGAAATACTGAATGGGCCAGATGAAACATTCTTTGTGGCCCATGGGCCATCAGTTTTTAACCTCTGCTGGTGAAAATATTGCCTTAGTTCCTAACTTGTCTCCCTCCTGCCTCTATCTAGACTCTTTTTTTTTTCCAGAATCCAAGTCCTATGTGACCATCAGCTCTGTAAAATACAGAGTGGATTGGGTTGCTCCCTTCCATAAAATGATCAATGAGGTCCCCTTCCCTCCAGAGTAAAACTCTAACCTACTAATCCTGGCATTCTGAGCCCTTAGCCTTTGGGGCCTCCTACCTGTCCTCTATTGAGGCCCCTCTCCATTCAGCCTTGACGTCAGCCACTATTCCTAGAACATCTGCTTTCTCTTTCCTCTGTGCCTCTGTTTCCTCTAGAACATCTCTCCCCTCTTCTTTGTTCTCTAAACAAGCTATCCTCCAAGATACCTCCTCTATGCCTACCTTTTCTCTCTCACCCCTCCCTGTCCTGCTAATGTTCCCAAGTTTCCAACTTCACCCTAACTTTGTTCTAATCCTCTCCAAGGAAGGCTTTATTGCCCCCGAAAAAGTAATGGAGGGGTTTGAGTTATTGGGCAGCAGTAGAGGGAAATCAGAGAAGGAGGAAGAGGGATAGGAATGTCTTCCTGTGTCTAACAAATGAGTCTCAGAACATTAGAATTTAGAAAGCTCTTTCCTCTTTTTACAGATGAGGAAACTGAGGCCTCGCAAGTGGTAAGGGTAGAATGAGGCCTTGAAATGCTCCCAGCCAGGTTATCAGGCATAATACAGTTCAAGCCCAGCTCGAAAGAAACCTTCCCTGGTTCCTCATCTGGGATTTGATTGCCCACAGTGTGATTGGAAAAGGTTTGCCAAAATGCAGGGTGGGTAATCAAATCCCCCCCACCTTGAGCTGTACAGGGTGGGAAGTCCTAGTCTGCAAAGTGGGCACACTCTTACCAGGGGGGACAGCAAGGGTCCCTTTAAAATTTAAGCCATGGGGACTGCCAGGGCACTTTGGACTCCCTGTGTTCTGGGATCAGGAGGCAAAAAGAGGAGTCACTGTTCTGGCAGTAGTAACTGACCCTGATCAGTTACTAGAAGTTATTAGAAGTACCTTGATGTTACTAGAAGTATCCTGATCAATTACTAGAAGAAGGCAGAGCTGCTTTTACAAAGTGGGAACAGGGAGGAATACATGTGGAACCCAGTGATCCATTGGAGTGATCTATTGGTTATGATAACCAAGAGTTTAGACCCCCCCTCAAGTCTGAAGGGTTGGGTCCCACCACCAGGTGACCCATCCAGACCTGCCAAGGTGATGGTTGAGGGTGTGGATAATTGAGAATGGATAGTGGAGGGGGAAAGGATGAGTACCACTTATGGTCCCGAGATCAAGTGCAGCAAGGGGGAGGGGAGCTGTAGTTTGTTCCAGTAACCTCCTTCTTTGAAGTTTCCACTTAGAAAAAGAGGCTCACAGCATCCACGGAAGAGCTGTGCAGCACGAGGGGTGGGATGTGGCGGCCGTGGGAATGCACCACCCAGATCTCTGACTGTAGGGACAGTGACTGCCCAGGGCAGCAGCTGTAGAGTCTCTCGCGGGTCCACAGAGGAGGCTCCGCTTTGCTTCCCCCCAGCCCATCTCAGCCAATGACTGAGCGCAGCAGAGACTCTAAAGCACCCAGTTCCTTGGAGATGCCCAGCCGGCTTCTCCGATGGGCACTTGGGATCGAGGACCCACCATCGGCTTTGTTGAAACTTTCTTAACATTGCACTGCAGCCTAAGACTCTTCCCATCCTGCCTTCCGTCCTTCTTTCCTCTTCCCAACATTGGATCTATTGCATTCTGATGATTCTCCCAGCCTCCTCTGCTCCCTCCTGATTTTTCCCTCCCAAGTGTTTCCCCCAAGAAATTGTTTGTGCTTCTGACCCCATCTTGGCCTACTTCTCAGAGGACTAAACGAGCACAACAGATCTGAAGAGAGGAACTATGGCAGCTGTTTGTTATGCTTCAGGCCTTTTTCCTAGACGCCCGGGGAAAATCCACTCTTGCCAGCTCAAAGTTTTGTATCCACAGCAATGCTGCCTTTCCAGAGAGGGTCTTGATGGGCGTGACTTGGATAGCAGAACACAAAGATAAACCTTGGCTATGACTTCCTTAATGACACGGAAGGAACATCAGAAAACAGATCTCCATTCAGATTTCCTCCGCCCAGAGCCCACCACGCTGGCATGTCCTGATGCTCCCTGGCAGTCAGTTGCTGCTCCCTGCACAAGGAAGCATGTGAGGCCAGCAACCCCAGGACTTCTGATTGTTAGACACCTTCCCTTTGTCTGCATTTTATATTCAGTGATGTGTCAGAAGTTTCTGCTACTGTTGGGGGCAATGGGAAGGAATAGCAAAAGAGTCCCTGTCCTCTGGCATCTACGTATTATAACGTTTCAAACTGTATGAGTTTGGGTAACTCTACCAGCTGTACTGAAAGCGCTCTGTGAAGATATTGTTTTGGCCATATTGACAGTGTCCATGCTGGGGAAAAATGGTGGCATTTCCTCAGTGTGTTCTATTTTCTATAATGCTCGTTATTGGCTATGTCTCCAGTCATGAAAAAGAGGGGGAATTCCTGGCTTGTTGATCTGCATTATGGTGGTCTTGTTCTACAGCAAGAACCCCCTCCCCAAGGCGGCCACCATCATCCCAAAGACATTGCTGCTGATGCCCACTCATGCAGCATGATCAGGGACGCCAGTGGCATTGGTAACCGAGTAGTTCAGAGAGCCGATCAGGATTAGGATGCTGAAGATGATGACGTTTCGGGCAAAATGACAGAAGCTGCTCATACCCAGGAATGGGAGCATCCAGGGCTACTGGGAGACACAGGTCAAGTTATTGGTGATGAGGAAAACCAAGGGTTACACCAGAACCCAAGATGGATCAGAAAGAAGATGGCAGGGCGGCCCAGGATATACGGCAGCTGGAGGCGATGGATCTTTGAATCTCTCAATACGTTTTGGAGGATATATTCTAAAGTGAGAAACACAGTGCTCCAGCAAGAGTCCTGACGAGCTTCCTACCTCCTGTGTCAAAATACAACTCCACGACTGCGGCCAGCAGGATGTCACTGATGACGGGAAGTGCAGTGTGTGGGCAGGGTGGAGAGGGGGGCCTCTGCCTCTTTGTGATATTGCAGGGCTGCTGAGTTGTACTTGGAGCTGCTTTGAAGGGAATTCTATTCCTTGCAGCTGAGAGCGTGCCAGCTGATATGAGAAGAATATCTCTAAAATCATGCGAGTGGCTGCCCTTGGGGGTGGAATCCAGGAAATGGGACTGGGGTGGCGGCAGATAATGGGAATTCATCTCTATCCGTCATGTTTTTTTCTTTTTATTAAAAATATCTGGCACAAATATGATAAGATGTTAACATTGATTCTAGCTGTGGATATGTACAGGTTTACACTTTTCTATATTTTCTTTCACTTTAAAAAAATTAAAAATTACTCAGTGGAAGTGTTTTTAAATGGAATTTTCAAAAAAAAAAGAAAAGAAATAATTTTTTCACCGTGTGATTCTGTTTTCTAAAGCCAGGTCCAAGAACTATCTAAAGTGACCTCTTGTTTGACACTCTGAGAAACAGCAGCCTGCCCCCATAGCTCCCGCTCCCGCTGCTTCTGAAAGCCTGTCCTCCCTAGGCCGGGACGCCGCTGTTTCTCTGGGGAGTTGTGGAGTGAGGATCTGACAAGTTTGCCCCCTCTCCTCCCGTGCAGATTGCAGGGGGCAGGGAATTTCCTCTGGAACCCTCAGAACAGAGGCAAGGCTACTCAGAGCTGCTCCAGTCCCAGCTCCTTCTTCAGGGGTGGATCACCAAAGCCAGCTCCCCCAGAACGTAGCATT